TAAAGTTTGGCTTCAAGTTGGTAGGTTAAAGATTTTCCTCATATAAAACCCTTTATTTAATTTTCTTGTTTCCAAGTAAAGTTTCTCGAAACATAACGGCATTATCAGTGTGGAGTCTTGTCATATACATGTAAGATCCTACCTAATGTATTTTGGTTTTGTGCAAATACAGAAAAAAAAGTATTGTTATTACATTTTATACATACACATAAATACCGAACGCTTGATGTTGATATATAATAGAATAGAAAATCATTTATTCAAATAAACATAATTTAAGCAGTTTTCAATAATCGTAGTTATCATTCTTTTAATCTATCTCTCATTCGGAAAGCTGTCTCATCACAAGAAGAATGAGTAAGAAACTGGTCTGTTGCTCTTTTAAATAATCATTGTAACATTACATTTTTAATTCAAAACGTGTGAATACAAACTATCAACTAGCAATTAACTATCAACATTGTGGAATCACCTTCCAGCAATGGTATTACCGAACCGTTACGATATTGAAACCTTCAAGAAAAGAGCTTATTCCTTTTTAAAAGGCAGACAACGTACTTGCAATTCCCCTGGTGTTGCGGGTGCTCATGGGCGGCGGTAATCACTTACCATCAGGTGAGCCGCATGCTCGTTTGTCCCCTGTGTTATAAAAAAAAATCAACTACTACTCATTTATTAGGATCAGATATTAAATACACAATAAGAGTAAATCAGTCGAAGTCATTAGATCAGACCAGTCCCTACAAGCAGCACTCGTTCACGAGTATCACGTATGAGCCAGCCCTCACAGTGCTCGACCACAGTTTAGGGAGCCCAATCATACAATGGCCCACCACGTTGCCACATGTCTGGACATATCTAATAAGCATGTCTACTCAATCCACTCGAGCACGTTATAGCTACTAAAAATTGTATAAAAGCAGATTAGCCTGCCATAAAACAGCTAACATTTAAGCTACTGGATACAAAAATCTGTCCATTTAAAAGGAGTTCGACTAAAAAAAACATGTATATATTTTATCTATTGTATATGTTTAATGTTTATATTTATTCATGTTATTTTATTCTATTTTGTTCTTTCTAGTATATATGTACAGTATATATACTAGAAAGAACAAAAGTTACATTAGTTGTAATTTTGTGTTAATTATCATTAATATTTTAAATAGTGCCCTCTCTCTCTCCCCCTTTTATATATATATATATATTTCCTCGTTTTGGTACTACTGAAAATCAGCTGCATGTTCACATAGGACATACATTAAAGCTGAGATTTCAGTGCCTATATGGATGTAAAAAAATATTATTATATGTTTATTTTAATTATCTACATGGTAAATTAAGTTTATATATACAATTTATTTAATCTTTTTTTTTCGTTTGTGTTTTATATTGTAACATTATTGAAAAGCACTGAATAAAATCATATAAAAAGAAAGAAATTCTTTCTTTCTTTCTATTACGCATTGTACTTAATAGCCATAACACCATCTGAAAGGGCAGCGTGCAAATAGAAAAGAAATAAAAAAATGTTGTAAATATTGTTTCATTAAAACTGCGACGTTATTTCACTGACAGCGCCACGGGTTGACATTTTACAAACTTCGGTCCAACAACTGAACTATGTAACGAACGGTACGCGAGGAGTAAAAAACTAACTTTCTAGGTGCCTAGCTGTTACGCCGTCGATACAACTAACTTCATCCAATTACCATTCAAATGCAGTTGCAGCAAGCTTGCAAAGTTATGGAGAAAATAAATTACATCTCCAGTAAACTTGATAACGAGATTAACACTTTTGCGTATCGCTGATTCTGTTGATATTAGTTCAAGTTCAAATGCAATTGCGAACTCGAGTAAAGTTATTTTACAATTGTATAAATATTTGTAGATAGATAATCTCTTTATAGAATAAAGATTTTCTTATATGTAAAATTCTCGTGTCACAATGTTAGTTACCATACTTCTCCGAAACGAGTTGACCGATTTTAATGAAATTTTATATGCATATTCAGCAGGTCAGGTCTGAAAATCGGCTACTATCCATTCTTCATACCCCTATGTGATAAGGGTTGTCCACCCCTAACATTACTTATTTATTATTTGGGCAATTTTTTTATTTATATTTTTTTATTATGCGTCATTAAAAATACATACAACCCTAAATTTTCACCCTTCTACCACCAACCTATATTTTTTTATAGCGTTATTAATTTATATTTTTTTTATTTTAATGTTATATATACATTCATTTATATGTATAAAGGTATCCGCAGAATACCAGCATCATGGCAGCCCGATACAGCATAAGCTGAGCGTATATATATATATAAATATTTATGTTGTATTTTATGTGTATCGAATAACATATTTTTTTCTTTCATCTTTTCTTTCTTATTCACCAGTTACACACATATTGCATACATGAGGTATAGAAAAAATACATGAACAATTAAAACAGATAGAGATAACTTTATGTGCCGCAAAGGTGAATAGGCAATCAACTCAGCATACAGCTACAGCGCTGATAATCTGTTGCCTCCTGTACTTATACTATTACTATACAACAGGTATTTATAAGAGCAACAAGCAAGTTTCTTGCTCGTTCTACTTGTTATGAGAAAGCTTACCGAATGAGCGGTAAGTTAAAAAGAAACTGTAATTCAAAAGTGCTTAAATTAAGCTTCGAAATTTCTTGATTCAAATCAAGAAATTTCTATTATATTCTAGTGTTAGCAAAATAATAAAGTAATTAACATAAACACTTTGTTTATTCGAGACCATATTATCAACCGAAAAAACTTAATAACTAACCGCAATATATTGACATTTGACGGCCTTGGTTGTCTAGCGGTGAGTAGGTACCGCCTTATTTTCAATGGTCGCGGGTTCGATTTGATTCGATTGTATCGGTCTGTATGTTTTCTATTTACCTGTATGTATTTACAAAATAATGTATCTATTTATTTACATTATTTGTCCTTTATCAATAACACAAGCTCTGCTGAGCTTGGGCCTAGATGGCGCTGTGTGATCTGTTCAGAGATATATAGGCAAGGTACCGATTTTCCATCATATTCAACGTAGCCTTCTTTCCAATACTGTGGTATTGCATGAAAGCAAAATATTTCACTATTCCACGCGAACGAAATCGCGAGTAAACTAGTGTTACATATAATAAGCAAATATATACGTAATATATATAAAAGTGTAATTAAATAAAAATATATTATCCAAGTAGAAACAACATTTAATACCAATATCAAAATGCACCCTAATTAATAATATTTCACCGTTGATTTTGACTTCTTCCGTTGTTTGTCTTATAAGAAAGTTTCTAGAACTATCACAGTAGTCACGAGAGTGGAGAAGTAATTCCGGTAAATGACAATAAAATATCACAAGCGTCTAACTCACCCCTGGACACGTGCAACAACTGTGTGACAATAGGTTTTAACTTTTGTCATGTTATACAATACAATGACACTGCATGTAACAATAGCGATACTGCTCGTAGCAACAACGATTAACTTAAACACGTTTTATTTCATAATATTACGTACATTTTTGCACTAAGTGAAACAAATCACACAAGCATTATCATTCGATAACAAATCTACTAACTTAATCGTATTAAAATTTTATAATTGACACATTGGAATCTCGACTGATACGTTGTTCTCTTAACAAAAAAAAGGGTAGAATATTCCTCATTAAAAACCAACGTAGCAACTTACTATATTTATTCAATACGTACAGACGTAAATATCACGAATTAAATAAAAAGATTCTCTCAAAATATTGGTGAGTAATATTCAGAGAATTATTCCAGCCCCGGATCTGAAGGGAGACAACACTGGCCCATAACCCGGCGGCAAGTTTTGAGGGCGGCAAAATCGAAATTAGCAGATGAATGCATAACTCATCTTAACGCATCTGTAACAACTTGGTCACTGAGACGTCAAGTAAATTAATAAAATATTTTTTCAAACTATAGTTTTTATAAACAAAATTAAAACTAACAGCAATACTAATTCGACACATTGTATGTTTATATGTATATTGGAAAAATGTTGGCCAGAGGGGGAAGTAAAGGGTGCGGTAATATTCAGTTTTTCACCATCTCGATAAATATGAAAATCAGGGGCTGGTTATTACACGATTGCACAGGTATTTCATACATTATTTAATTAGTTAACCGTGTCTTAACAGGAATATTTTTTTGGTAAATAAATATATTTACCTCGAGAGAGATTTTCGGTAATCAGCTGACGATGGCTAGTGCAACCTAGTCGAAACGTCGAGAGAGGTAAATACCTTTATTTACCATAAAATTATTCGTATTAAAACTCGGTTAACAATATAAATAATGCAATAAAACGCCAAATATAATTACAATTACTTGCAGATATCGAGTCAACGTGTGAATCCGGGTCAACTACAATAGCTACCCTCGTCGGTGCTTCAACGAGTGATTATTAACACTAATGAAGACAAATTACTGTCTAACGTCATTATATTTATCAACGTTATTTCACGGTGGGTCACTCACTCCAATTCTCCTTGGCTGCACTGTCATCTGAATCAGGGATGTTACGGAGGGAAGTTTATTCACATCCGCGGATGCAAATGCGGATGCGGATTTTCTTGCGTTCACATCTCCTGATGTGGATGCGGATAGATTTTATTTACAACAAGCTATGTAGGTACAGAAATAAAGTAACAAGAATAGAATGTTTTTTCAAATTTTTATACGATACGATACGCAATGTTTTATTTACGGTAAACAAATGATACACAATAACAAACGCGTCGAACGAAAATTCGCTCCTATTAGTCAATGAGGCCGCGCTGATCGCCGGTCCCATGCAATTTCTTTCTTGTAGCAACTTGTGCGACATCCGCATCCGCATGCAACTCCGCATTGATTATTTCGGATGTGTAAGTGATTGCGGATGTATAAATTTATTCCGCATTTGCGGATGCAGATGCGATTCGCGACATCCCTGATCTGAACGTAATATCCGGCACATTTATAATTATATTCAATTCGTAGACTTCCACAATTACTCACATACGTTTAACTATAAAGTTTTATACATTGATCACTAGATACTACAATTTTTTTAACAGTCATTATTAATCCGCTGTGTATCTCATTGCTTCGAGTGTATGAGATATTATATGGATATTCTAGTCTTGTATTTCCCTCCAACTTTGCTTTATTTACATATAACATTTCGAATATGGTGCTGCGTTGGATATGAAACTCGGGGAAGACTCTTCTTTCACGCCAACTGAAAATCAAATTGTTTATTTCAATTAAATCAAAATATCATTATTCATGTAGATTTATTACACACTCCTATGACATATCAGGTCTACCGTCAGTTCGGAGTGCTTTCAACCTAACAAGAAACTCAGTTATTCTTTTCAAATGAAATTGTACAATTTTATAAAACTACCGATTCATTTTTAAATTAATTATATAATATAATCATAATTCATAATTTATTTTGGGACATAATAATCTTAAACTGCACAAGGACAGTTTAACCGCTTATGAACGTAAATTTTTTTATATTATAATTTTTCCCTACAGTCCAATTTAATACCTATATAGATCCAATTGAGAAGAACTGGTAATAAACTCAATTAAATTACCGGTTTTTAAAAAGCCAGTTTATTTACAATGTATATTTATATGGGTGTCTATGTCTAACATTAAATGAAAATCCCGTGCATGAACAACTATTGCCATGCACGCTCGTCATTCAAGTGATCGTTTAGTGAGTAATGGGCTTTGCTCAGTAAATATGTTTTAACAAATGTTTTGAATTTATTTAAGTGTAATTCTAGTAAATCCTTTGGCAACTTATTGTAATTTTTTATACTCATTCCCTTAAAAGACTATTTGTTATTGAATCTTTGAGAAGTAGACTAACAGGAAAAATTGTATTCACCATCAGGCCAGAAAGAAAACCGTGAGGCAGCACCCTCTGATGAAGTCACTGACTCGTGTCGCCGCGTCGGGGAAAAACTACTGGAGGGCACGTACCCCGAGTTGGGGCTAGGGGAGCCACCTGTCAACAAAGACATTAACATATCAAAATAATGATAATCTCATTCTTAATATTATAAATGCGTTGTTCTTAATATTATAAGTGCGTAATATTAAAAAAGTATGGATGTTTGTTACTCTTTCACCCAAAAATTACTGAACTGATATTTATGAAACTTTACAATAATTATTGGTGACAGACCTCGTTTTATAGCTGTTTCTTATTTTAAACAATATATTTTTATCGACAAATTATTTCGGAATATCCGTTAGTTTCGGATAATTTCAGTAACGGATATCAAATTTTTAAGGAATTTCAAGGGTAAAATATAAATAAAGCTAACAAAATAGTTACATAACATGTCTCAATTAGGCTTCGGCCCTATCCGATATTATCCGAAACTTTTATTTCGGATTCGGTTACGGTTACAGAGCTCCCTAACATCCCTGATATACATACACAACTAGACAAATAATGACAACCATACGATTTGAATCGTGCGAGGAATCAAACCCGTGAGTTAACTGGACCACCCAGGGGGGAATGGGGATTGTTAGTAATGTGGACTGATCATCTTATTGCTAGCAATGTACCATGTCAGGTTGACCTCCACGTAGTTCCCCCTGGAAACCATCGTGATAAATTCTTGGTGAATTTGTCACGATGGGCTAACTGACCTGACTTCATGCTCATTATCATCCTCCACTGGTGCCCCGCCAGCGTAAACCGTTAGCGTAGGTGGGTGCACCATTCCATTATCATCCATAAAAAAAAAACTGGACCACCCATATTTTTCCTGAACAATGTTATGAATACAAATAATCATTTCAGATGCAACATGCGCCATCTATGTGTTCATAAATCTAACAAAAAGCTTGCTATCAACACGCCCTATGCGATAGTTGATTTCGAAACGCCGATAGATAGCATGACGCAAAGCAAACCCTGCTGTAATAGCCACTAGATGGCACTGTAAATGAAGAATTAAGAATTCTGGAAAATTCCAAAAGATGGCGGAATTTTCGTAACACTTTATAATGGAACTTGAATTTTGATTATGTGCAATTGGAAGGTTTGACGGAAATTTGGAGCAATAAAGTGAAACCTGTGTGGCGAGTAGTAACTTTGGAAAATTGCAATAGATGGCAGAATTTATATCTCTTTATACTGTACTATTACGTCTTATGTATAACGAAAGTAATCCGAGAGATGCCACTAAATAGATTTAAAAAGCACTACACCAATAGCTCGTAAAAATTGCTGGATACTCTTTGCTAGAATTGGCTAGACATTTTTAATGTTCTTTATTTATAATATAATCTAATTGTAAACCATTAAGAATTAGAATTTGCATGCCTCCTGATTTGAGGCGAACATTTGTACCCAACACTGTAAATGTTGAAGCAAATAAATTGTCTATCTATCTGTATTTATTATTTGTTCACTTTTAGAAATTAACTAGCTGACCGCGAGGACTCCGTTTCGTTTCAAAATTAAATACGAGCATGTCGGTCAAAGGTTTTTTGAAGTTTAGTTACACAATAAATTTCTGAACGTGATAGAGATATTGAGTGGATTACATATACAGTAGTAAATATAATTTACTTCGTTCCGATCGCAGTTGCACGTTACACACAAACTGTTACTTAGCAACAATACTTATTTTAAATGTGATCGATTATCTACTTCAATCAATGTGCCTAATAGAACGCACCCTGTTTGACAGGTATCAGCCATTTGTATGGAAAAATATAATTGTTGTTTTCACTATTTTACTAGCAAATTCTTCATATTTTATAACCGTTTAAACCTTCACTGGACTTCCACAAATATTAGCCAAATCGGTTCAGCCGTTCTCGAGTTTTAGCGAAGTGTCGCTAAAACTCGAGAACTTATATCTAAGATATTTTATATATTTTATAAACAGCATCTGAAAACTGGTTGCGTTCTTGGATGCTGGAGTGTGTGCTGCACTCCGCTAATTTGCTCGTATGGGGTGTACCTTTGGGGTGTTGGTGTCAAAAGCATAATGCAATCAGCATCAAGAAATGAAACTTTTGTACATTTTTGTAGAATACATCGTTTTTCAATATCATGTCAATATATAAACCATTATTATTTTATTATATTTTAATATTTTATCTATTGCAAAAATCTCTTATTTCAAAAAGAAGATATCCTCGCTCCAATTTTTAATGTCCTCATCCAATCCGGTATTGTCATTCTTTTTGCTCTTTTGTTTTTTCTATATTTTAGATTTAAATCATCTCATCAAAGGGTAGCCGACATGTGTGGAATGAAATTTAGTTTTATATCTACTTCTGTAGCGGACTCCTTGATAGGTCTTTATATTATTTTTTAATTTTATAGTCATATTTTTTTAACATATTCTTTTTGTAACATTCTATTATATCTCGCTGTCGCATTTTCTTTTATCTCCGTATTTTTCCTCATAAAACCCTTAATATCTCACTCATCAGTTACATCAGATACCTCCGATTCAACCTCTCTGTCACTTTGTTACTCAAAGTAAAGTTACCATCCAATTGAAATTAGCCTCAAATTCAAAAATTTATAATAATTAAAAATACATTTATTTCAAATATGGAATACTACTTATATAAAATATACGGATCTGATATCTGTTCTTTGGAGATACGAGGATTGACAATTCCAGAGAAGACTTGAAGGGAACCTTCGAGGGAAAAGAGAGTACAGAGAATGCAAGCATACTAATTGGAAGTGCCTCATGACGCAGTTACACTGAACCTGTGAAACGTATCTGCGCCATGACCTAGAACATTCTTCACCATCGATCCGAGTCAAGGAAACATGTTAAGGTGCAGAATTCAAAGGACTGGCGAGTTCTCTAGATTCCTCGACTGGACTAGACGATAAGTAATCCAATCTTCCAAACCTACTTCCAAAATTACGAAGGCCCACCCATTTAGGCCTGAAGTTAGGTGATAGATTAGTTTAAGTGTACTTTCCCAATGTAAAAATTTATAACAATTTTGTAAAGAGCTACTTACATTCGTGCCGCTGGCTACCACGACAATTCGTATTTATAAATATTTATATTTTTAAACGAATATTATCATTGTTTATATGGTCTGTCATTCGATTATTCCTCTTGCCTTCTGCTGCCATACTAGTTTTGTTGCGACATATATTTTTATAATATACTATTATACATTCATATTGCGCCTTTAATTATCACCATCGTTGGCTGCACCGACCCCAGCGCCTTCCACAGAGTCCCACACAAATTTCATTCCACCCTCTCTTTATTTTTATATTTACTCATATACCTCACGTAACAATACTCACAAATTTTTAAAGTTATAGCACACTTGGTATCCGCTAGTGAATATTATATATACACCGCATTTACGGGTCTATGATAAAACAGCAAGATTAAACGGTACAACTTTCATTGATGAAAGTTCAAGGGCATCGGATTTTGTTTATATTTACAACTGTACTAAGATAGTACACTCCAAGTAAACAAAGCTGCTATCTATTTATTTTTGAAGACCTATTTTCAGTACGGTAGTTATTAATAGAAAGTAACTCATACCTTCAGGCCAAAATGGAAATCGGGACACATTATCCGAGGACGTAACAATATCGTGATGCCGACTTGGAGAGAATCCACCTGATGAAGGTGCATATCCGGGACCTGGGCTTGGAGAGCCATCTGAAATTTAAAATATTTTTGTTCTAATTTTTGAGAGGCGTTCATTTTTCTGTCTTGGATCGAAAGATTAGTTAATGTGGTCAATACCAAAAAAGATTCTGAAGGACTCTTATACAGTAAGTATTTCATATGACTGTGGATAGTTATAACGGCAGAAGAAGAACCAATAAGAGATGGATGGACTGTGCAAAAGATGAAGTGACAAGAAATGGAGTGAATAACGAAAAGACTGCGAACAGAGATGGATGAAGGAAAGAATATATTACGTCAACCTCAAACAGTATGGAATAAGAAAAAGCAGTTGATGCCTGCTTATGGACTTTCTGTTAAATAAAATACCGATGACGAAAGAAAATAACCCGAGAAGCAGCGGTAGGTTCCAATTGAAATCGCATTTAAATATACCAAGCAAATCGTGGATATATCAAGTGTTGCTTTCATCACAACTTCAATTGGCAATGATCCTGCCTACTTCATCTGAAATTACAGTTGTGAAGATATCTATTAATCTTATTTTAAAAAGTGCAAAACTCTTTATAATAGCCTTGCTACGTTTGTCAGAACAGGTGGAAAAAATGTAGAACGAAAGGATAAAGAAACAGATACAATGTAAGAACCGTGAAGACATATATTGATCTATGTACATTATTCAAAATTGATCTTATGCTAACCAGTAAATCTAAGAAAGTAGTTTCCAGGAGCGTCGTGTATACACGACATAAGAGTATAAACAATTGTGTGGTTGTATTGAAGTTGTAAACAGAGTAGTATGTAAAAATAGAAACCTATTATTACTCAAGTTGTTCTTACGAGCCCCATAAAGAGTTACTTTAGATGTAAATCCCATGGAACCATCCCATATACCTTAAAAAATAATTATTCCATTCTAAATAATTTTTCGTAACTTACCCAACGCTGTAACTCCTATAGGATTGTAGGAATTCATTGGTATTGACTGCATCGGTTGTAATGGATTCTGCAACTAAAATACAATATTATTAATGCGTATATCAATAAACAATCATTTTTTTGTTCATGTAGGTCTTTTACAGACTTTTAGGATATGTCAAATCTACCGTCATCAATTCAGAATGATTTCGAGATAAGAAGAACTGACAAGAAACGCTGGTCTTATTCTTTTCAAACAAATGTTTTACATCCTTCATCATCATCATCATCGCAGCCCGGAAGACGTCCACTGCTAGACACAGGCCTCCCCCAAAGATCTCCACGACGATCGGTCCTGCACTGCTCGCATCCAATGCCTCCCAGCGATCTTGACCAGATCGTCGGTCCAACTTGCTGGAGGATTTCCCACGCTGCATCTTCCGGTTCGTGGTCGCCACCCGAGGACTTTACTGCCCCAACGGCCATCTGTCCTTTTTACATCCTTACTAATATTATAAATGCGAAAGTGACTCTGTCTATATGTCTGTCTGTCTCGCTTTCACGTCAAAACTACTAAACCGATTTAAATGAAATTTGCTACACAGATAGTCTAGACCCTGAGAAAGGATATAGACTACTATTGAATGCGAAAAAAGGATTATAAGAGATTGAAATTGGGGATGAAAGATGGTATGGAAGTATCGTAATTTTTGAGGCTGTTGATTAAATATAAATAATTATGACATTCATAATTTTTTTTTAATTTACCCTTAAGGGGGTTGAAAATTAATAGGTAATAAAATGGATGAAAGTTTTTACATCCAAATAACATATAGACTATAAATATGTAAAAGGATATTATGTAAATTGGGCGACATATAATGATAAGTGTGATGCAGATGAAGTCGCGCGGGTTAGCTAGTGTTTATATAATACAGATCAATTTTAAAATTCAAATTTCGGAGAATAAAGTCACCACTAGCATATGCTATTGCAAAAGCAAATAATCTAATCAGTGTTCGTAACCCGAACAGACAAGTCCCCACAAGCAGCACCCCTTCACGAGTATGACGGATGTTTTCTGAGTTAATCTTGCCTAAAGCATTGTTCAGTGCGTAAAATGAAAATAGTAATAAAATCATAATATATGTATAGCTAGATCAGAGAATAGGCTCTAGATAGAATCAGATGAACGACCAAATAAAATAAGACTTCAAGTAAGCAGAATTTGGACGTTTCTATTTGTGTTCAGAAATATCAAATTTCAACAGAGAAGTGTAATTACGTTGAGTCTAAAATATTCGGTATCGATTGCAAGTGATAATAATGAATTAAACTATTTAACCGGAGGAGTTAAGGAAAACTTAACTATATGGAAATATAACATTGACCACTGGAAAGGTTAAGTAAATATAGTTACAACCAGAAATTGGGCATTAATTGCTAATTTTAGCGAAGGCAGAGACTAAGAAGAAGACGCAGTGTGGGAAGGCCCTAGTGGCCTAGTGGCCCAAGGTAGACCAACGATCTGGTCAAGATCGTTGGAAGGCGATGGATGCGATAAGAGCAGGACCGATCGTCGTGGTGATTTTTGGGGAGGCCTTTGTGCAGCAAAGGATGATTTAGCTTTAGATCTCAATATAAGCGGACTACGATCATTGTTAATGTCTCGTCGTTGTCTCAAATATTAGTTAGCAATAACGCAACGTAACCCAACATTTATAAAACTTTTTTGTTCAATTTATATGTAGCCCTTATAGATGACAGAACTATAATTTTGTATTTAGAAAGATTAGAAGAAATTTCTGTTCGTTGAATTTTACTGTTACCTTGTGAGCCTTTTACCAAATATACATATTTTACTTTAATAAACTTACACATAAAATTCCCGTCTCATATGTATTAACATATGAGACGGGAATTTTATGGTAAAGGAACGGAACGGAACGGAAGAGTATGGTAATTAACCATACTCTTCCGATACTTGACAGATTTTTATGAAATTTTATATATATTTTTTATACGTCTGAGTCTGAGATAAGACATAACTTTTTGACCATAACTTTTTTTATATAATATGGCATTAAAACATACATACAACCCCAGATTTTCACCCTACGACCATCAGCCTCTATTTTATAATCACAATTTAAATTTATATGACAAAAACGTTTGGGGGATAAACAACTGCGGATTAAACCACTGCAAAATTACAATAAGGTTAACTTAAGAAATCAATTTATATGGTAGTATAAGATCAAATAATTCAAAGTTATGTCCCATCAACTACATAATGCTAGAAAATATTTTACCCGATAAGTTTTTATAGTGCATTGATAGAGGTGTTTCTGCAAACATGTAGCTTTATCGCCTTGTGATACGCTACTAAATTTTTAATCTCAATTTAATTACAGAAATGACATTAATCTTTTAACACGCAATAGGCGTATTACCATATGAAATATTACATGTTTACAATGAAACAGAATACACTGTAAAAAAGAGACGGCTTAGAGGTTTAGCACACCGCCTTACGGATGATCGCGGGTTCGATTCCTCAAACATTTGTATGCATGAGTATGATTGTTTGTATCGGTCTGGGTGTTTTCTATATATGATATATAACTAATCCTGAATAATGTTTAGAATAATGGTTATATCTTTTTAATAAATGGTTTCTATAATTTATAGCTTAACTAGTATCTAGATGGCGCTGTGTGAATTGTCCTGAGAATATTATTATTATTATATAAAATATGTATATATAAAATATATATATATGTATATATGTATCTTTTCAAATACATAGTAATTTGAAAAGATTTTTTTTTAATATAAAATTTTTACTTTTTTTTTAAGTACTCTATCTACATACGTAAACGATCCACCTATCTATGTATATAATGAAGTATACATTATATACATAGATAGGTGATTTTTTTTTTAATGTGCGATATTTTTTAACTTTTTATTTCCTGCTTTTGCGTTTTCGGGTTACGCTCGCTTTAGCAGAGTATGTGAAAGGTTTTATTTGAAAACGAGTGATTGGATTTGCGATGTTGTTATTTTTAGGAGATGGATTATTTACACTGATGAAATATTTGTGGTTCTTGGTATGTATGTATGTATGGTATGTATGTTTTTTTTTGTGTGATTAGTACCTGTCCTTGCAACTGATGTGATCCGAAGGGGTTAACTGAGACTGGAGACGATTGGTGCGGCATAACACTATGAGGGGAGCACCCTGATGGACTCCTGCCCATGCCACCACAGGCGCTCGCATAACCCAGACCACCAGTCGACTGAGCAAGCCAAGTACTGGAATATAAAACAATAAATTTAGAGACAAATACGCAGCATATTATATATATACTAGCTACTCGCCCCGGCTTCGCACGAGGGTACATGTATTATAATGTATAATACATATACACCTTCCTCTTGAATCACTCTATCTATTAAAACATAACTGCTTCAAAATCCGTTGCATAGTTTTAAATAGTTAAGCATATATAGGGACGGATAGACAGCGAGAGCGACTTTGTTTTATACTATGTAATGATGAGAAACACATTCGCAAAGGTAAAAATAATAATGTACACAATAGAAAATTTGCCAATTAGTTTTTCTTAATTTTATTGCATGAAATCAAAAATCATATATTGAATTTTCACAAACTACAGAATATACTTTGACAAAAATTTGCAATGTCGATAAAAAAAAAACAACGTAGAGAAATGATTATCTGTTTCAGAAAATCAAATATTATCTATATACAGATGAAATAGAATCCAATACCGTAATTTAAGACAATGATCTATACATATAAATAAAATTGTAGTGTCTGTTTGTAATATTAAAATAACCGCTTTTACTACATGCATATGAATATACTAAGTATATTTATACTTACACGGTACATACACCAAAGTACCAGTAGTTCCTGAGATTAGTGCATTCAAACGAACAAACTCTTCAGCTTTATAATATTAGTATAAATAATTCATTTTATACACATTTTAATAATAATTTACTTGTAAGGATTTCATTTTTCATTCATAACAATTATGACATCTACGATAACAAAGAATACTGTGCGAATACTGTAACTAACATATAGTAATTTTTGTAGCTGTGACGTGGTCGTGTGGAATGAGTAGTCATGCTCACTAAAATGTCCAGATATGTGGCGGCGTGGTGGGCCGGGTCAATGGGCTCCCTAAAATATGGTCGAGCGCAGTGATGGCTGGCTCATCCGTCATACTCGTGAACGAGTGCTGCTTGTAGGGACTGGTCTGCTCTTATCACTACGACTGATTTAATCTTATTGCATATTTATATTTGACCCAATAAATTTGTGCTGGTTGGTAGTTTGTATTCACACTTCTATTTCGACTTGTAAATGTAAAGTTACAAGGATTATTTAAAAGAGCTACACACAAGTTTCTTGCTCGTTCTTCTTGTGATGAGACAGCTTTCCGAACGAGTGGTAGATAAAAAACAAATTGTTATGACTATTCAAAAGTGCTTAAATTAAGTTTATTTGAATAAATGATTTTCTATTCTATTCTATTCTATTCTACAAAGTTATGTCTGCTACAAAATTGATATAGTTGCATCGAAAACTAGCGACCATGTAGAGCTATTCTGTAAGCATCACTTATAAATTCGAAAGTGGAATCCGCGGTGAAATAGTACATTGGTATTTTGTAAATAGCGACTGCAGCGCCACACGCTCGAGAACGGGATGCAAGTAAAACGGACACTAGTGATTTTTTTATGAAACATATCCAAACTCTATAGTCAGTAGGAACTTTATATTTGCAAATGGATACAAGTACTAGTTTTATTACTCAACAAACTAGTTTTACCTAAGTGCCGTTTGACGAAATTTAGTAATTCGTTTTATGGAAATTGCGTAAGGTTTTACAACAAACTCCCAGAGTCTATACTCAATTTACCAGAAAAAAATTAAACGTGTCATAAAATATTTTCTTTGTAAAAAAGCTTATTATAAAATTGAAGAATTGATAAATGTAAAAATGTGTTTGTAGAAAATATCTAACATAAAATTCATAACGCTGACAAAGATGGCTGATTGAACAGAGATTAAGTGAGCGGTTTCTATGTTGATTCTAGTCTAATCCTTGTTGTTAATTAAATATAAGTAAATCAATATTTATTTAAAAGAGCAACACACAAGTTTCTTGCTTATTCTACTTGTGATGAATCTGCATTGCGAATAGGCGGTAGAATCAAAAAACTTGACTATTCAAAAGTGCTTGTAATGAGTTTATTTGAATCAACATTATTTCTATTTCTATTTCTACTTCATTCCCATATTCGTGTATATGTAGACTATAATCAGACCTCATATATAATTTATTTATTAGAAGACCAACAGTGCACAATCCAATGCATTAAATCAACACCACATTTCTGAAGAAAGGTTTAATAACTCAACTTATACATAGTATCGAAGAATTTCGAGTGAAGCGATGGGTGAAATGAGTTGATAGAACGCTTACAGAATATCAATGCCCAGACAGCAACTGTAGAGGTATCTACGTTCTCTAAGTCGACCGTGAATAGATAGATATAGTTTGTAAACTCCGCCCATCTCACCTGCATCTAACCAATGGTGAGTTACATGGACCGTTTCTAGTACTACATCTTACGGAAAATTATGATAATTATTTATTAAATATGATAATTATAATGTAAAAACTTGACGTTCATAAGCGGCTAAAATGTCCTACATGAATAAATGATTTTTTAATTTGAATTTTCAATTTGGAATTTGAATATGTACAAGAGTTAGTTAATTTAAAACTAACTTCGACTTTACATGCATCTAATACAGGATTATATTTTACGACTAGCTGTTCCCGCGACTTCGTCCGCGTGGAATTTATCTTTCCTTATCATTGCATTGCCTTTATCCCATTATTTGGGGTCGCCGCTAACTTTATTTTTCTAAAATAAAAGTAGCCTAAGTTCTTCTTTCCAAAAACAGTCCCTTCAAAATCGGTCCAGCCATTTCAGAGATTAGCAGGATCAAACAGACAGACAGACAAAAATTGTTTAAAAACAATATTTTGGTGTATGTACCCTATTTATAATAATAATAATAATAATCTCAGGACAATTCACACAGCGCCATCTAGACCCAAGTTAAGCTAGCTAAAATTTGTGTTATGGGTGCTAGATAACTGATACATAAACATAGACTTTTTTTTGTAAATAAATACATATTATGCACAGAAAACACCCAGACCGATACAAACAATCATACTCATAAATACAAAAGTTTGTGCCGTGCGAGGAATAGAACCAGCGACCATCGGTCATAAAGCGGTGTGCTAGACCGCTAGACCACCGAGGTCGTCATTTATATTCATATGCATGTAGCAAAAACAGTCATTTCAATATTACAAACAGACACTCCAATTTTATTTATATGTATAGATTTTGATGGATAGACAAACATTTGTGTCAATATTTATGTATTTTATTTGTATATTATGTATATGTTTATATATTATTGATGTCTTTCAATCCATTATTGCGCCATCCACTATGTCTTTTCTCCTCTGCCCTAAGGAAGAGATCGATTAAACGATTACTTACTACTCAATACTATTGTATATTCTTAAGGTGTAATACAAATGTTTGTTAACCAAAAGCGAAACTTTACGCAGTTACTTCCTTCATTTACGACCTGTAAACTAATGTCTAAGAAGATTGAACATAACCTAAAAGTATTTTCAAATAATAACAAATATTAAAAACTCCACTATAATTGTTAAAAATTAAACTTTTATTATGTCTAAGAAGATAGAACCTAACCTAAAACTATCTTCAAATAACAACAAATATCAAAAACTCCACTATAATTGATAAAATTTAAACTTTTATTATGTCTAAGAAGATAGAACCTAACCTAAAACTATCTTCAAATAACAACAAATATCAAAAACTCCACTATAATTGATAAAATTTAAACTTTTATTTGTTTGTGCCATTTTTATTGCTAATATTAGACATGTAACTATCAACAACAAGCTGTATTATATAAAAAAAATCCAATTTATCTTCAAACAAGTTTCAACCGATAGATAATTGTGTATCAATGTCATCAAGCCGGACCAACAAAATATACCTACCTACACTATTCAGATATTAGTTTACACAAGTTTAATATTTATTAAAGTAATATTCATAAAGTTTCGTATGATAACGAAGTCAAATAATAAATCATTATCAACATTAATGTATTCGTTATATGCTGTATCACAATATCGGCAGTCAGTGATAGCTAAGTCAAAACGAGGTCACGGCAGACTGCACCTGTACACTGAACATTAAACAATATATAATTAATTACTGTAATATGTTGACGACGGAAATTGAAAATAAAAAACTCACCAACATATCAACGTACCATTAGCATTTGTTTTGTAAACATCGGACGAGAAACGTAAATATTTAACATAATAATTTGTAGTAAGTGACGCTTGACAATTTACTCACTGCTACTGACTCACATTTATATAAATGTTAACAACATTTGCAACAATTTACACAACGTCACACAAGTCTACTATAACGTGTAAAAAATACTATTCATTGAACACATGTTTGTATTATTTAGATTTTTCTGTAACTAAACATTTGTACACTACACTTGCCTAGACTTGGAACTGACATCTTACCGAATGAATTATTTGCTGCATTAAATATTATGATATCAGGAATTGTGCAATCAAACTTTACTGTTAACCCTACGGCCTCTAATAGCTTCACCTCGGTGGCTTTAAAAAATCTAGCGATAATTTTTATATTGCGATATAACTTAATTATATCATTACATATTTATTATACACACGTGTATATAAAATTGTGCCTTATACGAATTGAAAATCTACAACTAACTAACTATGTATCTGTTTATATTTTAGACCGATTTATCATCTGCTTGACATATATAACGATATGCAATACATCAGAAACATTCCAAAATGTATCTACTATTTAGATAAAATATATATTACCAGTAGTAGCAACATCCGCAATTATTAATATTGCAAAAAATAGCTTCACCGTCTTCTTACATTGAGAACAAATATAGTAAACACATTTTGCATAACACTTACGTGTCGTATCGTGGATAAGACGTCGGATAGGACGAGCTGGATCCAAAGTAATTCCTCGCTCCCAATGGAAGCGGTTGCATGTGAGGCGGCACGTGCTGGCCGACATGAGCCACGTGATATCCATCACCAAATAGCGTCTTAGAATACGGCGTGGTCCGGAATGGCCTCTTCATTCTACGCCGCCGTCTGTAGTTACCGTTCTCGAACATATCCCCACATTGTGGATCTATAACAACACTGCACTCACAACCAAAAAGGCCACCAAACTGTAATCGCAAGCAATTCGCAACTCTAACTCTAACACTATATGGATGATAATGACGTGACTGTTGTGTAATCGCTTAGGCTTCACATCATTCGCATCGCTTTATATTTCAGTGACACTCTTTAGTCTGCTAGCAGATTTGAATAGATTACGCGTGTATCCTATATCATAAAATAAAGCAATTTAGTTGTAATAATGCAATCAACTTACCTAAAGTCCAATAATTTCCTTTCCTCTCGCCCCCACCTTCTCTCGGGACTTTCACAAAGCATTCATTCAAACTGAGGTTGTGCCTTATGGAATTTTGCCATCCCTTTTTGTTTTTTTCGAAGTACGGAAACTCCTTGGTGATATAAGCATATATTTCGCTGAGCGTCGCTCGTTTCGTATGGCTATTTTGTATCGCCATTGAAATAAGGGCCACGTACGAATATGGGGGCTTAGTCAGGGCTTGAGACGTGGCTGTAGTAGATTGTGGCTTCATTTCTGTATTCCCAGGACTGACGGGCGCCGATGTTTTTGATTTGTTTTTGGTATCATTACTGTTACAAAATTTTATGTTACATATATAAAATTTAGAGTCAACGTAAGATCCCCAATAATTTTTATTAACAAACCTGTTGTTATTATTGCTAGAACTATTATTATCTTCTCTGGAAAGTGCGGGCAATGAAAGATTTTGATATACCCGGGATATATCTTCTTCGCCTTTCATGTTTTGCGAGTTGGAAGTACCATTGCCACTGGGTTCTTGAATACAAGTCCTGCTCTCGTACGGCGATGTTCCTATAAAAATAATTGAAAGTTCCAATATTAATACATTAATAATTTTTATGGTTACATAAGATTTATATTGCACCATAAAAAATAAAATTTGAAATCTAAATATGTATAACTCAAAGGTACTGACGTAGTAATCTATCAACGCACAGCCCAAACCACTGGACGGATCGGGCTGAGTTTTGGCATGCAGGTAGATGTTATGACGTAGGTATCCACTAAGAAAGGATTTTGATTAATTCTACACCCAAGGGGATAAAATAGGGGATGAAAGTTTGTATGAAACTTTGTCAATTTTAAACCGATCAGGCTGAGACTTTGCATGCATAAAGCTACTATGACGTAGGCATCCCCTAAGAAAGGATTTTGATAAATTCCACCCCTAAGGGGATAAATTAATGCGAGCGACGCCGCGGGTAAAAGCTAGTAAAACTATAAGTAAAAACCCTAAATTAATAGATAAAAAACAACTCAAATAGCAGTTGGCAGCTCACAGTTGCATAAACAATAATAGATGAACTTAACGCGTGGACTACCAATAGAACATAAACGAAAAAAAGGATTATAAAGGAATATTTTTACTCAAAAAGTTGGACCCGAATGGATGATTAAAGCACGGGAAAGAAAAATATGGAGAAATTTAAGAGAAGCCTACGAGGTTTTTAGGTTTTATTGCTGAGAATGTGTGCTGCAACAACAATTAAAAAACTGTAAAACAATAGAATAAAAGTGTTTTTTATTTTTTATTGTTCTTAATATTAAAGTTCGTTCAGATCATGACATGTTATATCTGTAATCAGTAATATTTGTGTATCATAATATCCTTTTTATGTTTCAAAATCAATCAAAATAATAGAGATATGTCAAATTTATCATAAGTTCGAAGTGCTTTTCAGCTAAGAAGAAATGACAAAAAAGCTCTTTCTTTTCGAATGAACTTGTACGTGATAACAAAAAAAAGATTAATTATTAAATTCAAATAGAGATAATATAGTTATATTGCATTTTATCAATAGGAAATAATGTAATCTGCAGCTTATCGTGAAAAGATAATTAACTATATTTGCATAAAGTTTACCTAAAGTTAAACTATATAGTTAAAATACTACGTCTATATAAACAATTATTGAACTGAAAAAAGAATTATATATAAACAATTATTGAACTGAAAAAAGAATTATCTATGTCATATTTACTAACATTTTCATATCACATTTCAACTTCAAAATGTAGAGTTACAACAATTATTAAACACACAAACTTCTTTCTCGTTTTTCTTATGATAAACCAGCTTTCCGAATGAGAGGTAAGAAATAAGTGTGACTGTTGGAAACTGTTTTATAAACCTTTTTTATTGTCTACATTTTTTATAAACACTATTTTGTTTTTACATGTGACATAAGTAAGTCATGACAATTTTTACGACGTTTTCTTTGCTCGTCGTCTTGATCTCCATCCTTCACAATAATCAATCCAAAAAGCTTAAATTATAAGTTTATTAAAAAGATCATCGCGCAAGTTTCTGGCTAGTTCTCCTTGCAATGAGACAGTTTTTCGTATAAGGGGTAGAATAAAAAAAAGTAAGACTATTGCAATGTGCTTAAGTATTTGAACAAAAAAAACTATTCCATGACCTAAATGATCTTCTTTAACTAAGTATAAATTGTTGAATCAACTTCAAAGCAAATCGCGAGTACACAATAATTCTATTTATAATTACATATAATAATATTAGAGTTTTAACCGATCTTACGCGTACGTGACTCCGGATATGGGTTTCTTGGAATCCGTCGACTACAGCTACGCAGGCATTGGTCACTTTTGCACCGAGCTATTCATTGCAAATAAAACCTTGCCAACCTATTGTTGATCAAACATGATTCGAAAATAATACAAGTCCGAACAAATTAACGGGAAAATAAACCTGATACCTATTGTAAAAATGTTTATAGCAACGTTACAAATCGTGCCTGCAGTTATAATAATGCGAGCTAAATTGTAAGCACAAAAAACAAGGCCTAACTTTTGTTTACAAAAGATACTTATACTTATTATATAGTTAGTTAACCTACAAACGCGGGAGCCTGGAATGGCTAATTATGTTTCATTACGTAAATACGAACTAAGAAAGGATTTCCTGAAATTCACACGATTACAGAATGCACGGCCATTGTACTACATTAATCTCAGTTGCGTAATGCCTACATTGCGAATTGGAACGTCTACCCTTTTGAAAACAAGAAAAAATATTTTAAGAATGCTTTGACATTATATAATTAAGAAAATAGGAAAATTAGTAATTCTTCTTTAATGTAGTTTTATAGTTAGTAGTTTAGTAGTTTTTGTTGCATCATGAAGCATCATGGTCTGTCGTAATTTTATTTGTTGTCTTGATTAGACTTAGATTTGTTCCTAGATGTAAGTAGTTATGTATCATGAAGACCTTGGCCTGCCATAATTTTATTTATTTTATTTATTATATTATATATATTTTATTTATTTGTTAGAGAAGATTTGAATTATTATAAGATTTGTTCTTAGATGTAAGTATAGTAATTTAGTAGTTTTAGATGTATTATGATGAACGTGGCCAGCCGTAATTTTGTTTATTGTCGTTGTTAAGTAATATTAGACTTAAGATTTGTTTCCAAATGTAATTATAGTAATTTAGTAGTTTTAGATGTATTATGATGAACATGGCCTGCCGTAATTTTATTTATTACTGTTGTTAGATAAGATGTGACTTAAGATTTGTTACCTGATGTAAGTATAGTAGTTTAGTAGTTTTAGACCTGCCGTAATTATATTTATTCCTAGACGTAAGTAGTTTAGTAGTTTTAGATATATTATGATGAACATGGCCTGCCGTAATTTTGTTTATGGTCGTTGTTAAGTAATATTAGATTTAAGATTTGTTCCCAGATGTAAGTATAGTAATTTAGTAGTTTTAGATGTATTATGATGAACATGGCCTTCCGTAATTTTATTTATTTTACTGTTAATAAATAAAATTACGGACGGCCATGTTAAATAAAATTACGATAAGATGTGACTTAAGATTTGTTACCAGATGTAAGTATAGTAGTTTAGTAGTTTTAGAGCTGCCGTAATTATATTTATTTTGTTTATTGTCGTTGTTAGATAAGATTAGATTTAAAATTTATTCCTAGATGTAAGTAGTTTAGTAGTTTTAGATATATTATGATGAACATGGCCTGCCGTAATTTTGTTTATGGTCGTTGTTAAGTAATATTAGACTTAAGATTTGTTCCCAGATGTAAGTATAGTAATTTAGTAGTTTTAGATGTATTATAATGTACATGGCCTGCCGTAATTTTATTTATTACTGTTGTTAGATAAGATGTGACTTAAGATTTGTTACCAGATGTAAGTATAGTAGTTTAGTAGTTTTAGACCTGCCGTAATTATATTTATTTTGTTTATTGTCGTTGTTAGATAAGATTAGATTTAAAATTTATTCCTAGACATATTATTTATTACTATTACGTTAGGGTACCCCTTAATGATAATGTAATCACGTATATAGAACGTTTGTTAGACTTGTCAAGTGTTTTTTTTTTATTGGGTAATTGGGCTGTTGTCAATAGCTTGGACCTGTAGCATTGCGACCTACATAGATATACCATATAGTGCTCGCCTCTTTTCAGAGTACGCTATCTAGACCCGTCAGGTACTAGAATTGAAGGATATTCTTAGGAGCGATGGTTGTTATCTCCTCAAGATAGAGTGTAAACTTTCTAAAGGAGATATTACGTTTATGCATAAGTGGGTTACTACTACATGGGATGTATAGTGGCATTTCCTCGAAGTATCTGTAATAGATAACAATATTTTGAATTTGAATTTATCTCATTGCTGATGACCATATAAATCATATTAGTCTAGTAGAAACTTGGGACGAGAAATACAAAAATCTCTGCACTAACTCTTAAAATTTTATATGTATACGCAATATATCTGAGAATAGATTGTTACCTATATTTTACACTACTGAGTGATAAGGGTGGCCCACCCCAAAAAAATCTATTAACAGATAAAAACAGTTCAATGTATATACAAAACTAACTGTGCCCACGACTTCGTCTGCGTGGTTATTTAAAACACTATAGTTTTCTCCGCTTTTGCAACATTTTAATGTTACATTTCTATTGGTCATAGCGTAATGTTATGTAGCTTAAAAAGCCTTCATCGACAAACGGACTATCCAACACAAAATTTTTTTTTTTAATCGAACCAGTGGTTCCTGAGATTAGCGCATTGAAACAGACGAACAAACAAAATCTTTAGGTTTATAATATTAGCATAGATTTAAAAAAAACTATATATTTGTAACAGTTGTCTAGTAAGCTCTGTTTATCTTCGAATTAGATGGCGTTGTGTGAATTGACTAGATGTTATTATTATTATTAATAAAGAGTTATATTATAATTTGCTTTTTTTTATTAATTCGTTGTATTCTCGAATTTCTTCTGTGTTGTTTATGTGATTATTATTACATATCCTTCTTAAATTAAAATTGAATTGAAAAATATTTTTTTCAATTCGAACCAGTCATTCCTGAGATTTTCCTGAAGATATTCTGAAATAGAAATAGAAATAATCTTTATTCAAATAAACTCATTACAAGCACTTTTGAATAGTCATATTTTGATTCTACCACTCATTCGGAATGCAGATTCATCACAAGAAGAATGAGCAAGAAACTTGTGTGTTGCTCTTTTTAATAGATGTTTTTTTTATATAAATAATTACAGTGTAACAAGTAAGAAGCATGCGACAATCAACATAGAAATCGCTACGCACTCATTATTAGTGTAATCAGATAATATTGTCAGTGCTATGGATTTAAAATTTTTTTACAAAAACATTATTATCGTTAACGAATTCTTCAATTTTATAGTAATTCTGAAGATATACCTGAGATATTCCTGAAGAGTTTGTTTGTTTGAACTTTGAACTAATGCGCGTTTAAACAAACAAACTCT